AACATGTATGGTGCACCCAGAACACCACAAGGCAGAGTCCAAAGACTACCAAGATGTGTCTTAAGGACACAGGAAACAACTTGAAACATCTCCTTTTAGTCAAGTGTTTTAGTCAGCCTTAGTGTCACTATGACCAAAATACAACAACAACTTAAGAGAAGGAAAAGTTTATCTGTAGCTCAGAGTTTCAGAGATCTCAGTCCACAGACAGCCAACTCCACTGCTCTGAATCTAAGGTGAGGCAGCACATTATGGGGGATGGTAGAGGCAGAGGAAAGCTGTCTCTCCCTTATGGCAGGGGGATGGAGACAGGAAGAACAACCCTTTCAGGGCACACCCCCAGTGACCCACCTCCTTCATTCATGCCCCATCTGCCTAGAGTTACCACCCTGTCAGTTCTCTCAAAGTAGGATGGACTGATTAGGTTATAGCTCTCATAATCTAATCATTTTGCCTCTGGATATTCCTGCATTAACAGAAGTTTTGGGGGGACACTTCATACCTGAAGCACAACATGAAGTTTGGGACATCAAGGGAAAATGTTGAATGTTGTYTCTATTGTGAGAAGGATGAAAAAAATGTTTAATATTACATTACATTAAATGTTACATATTAACACATCATTGAGACATCATTAAACATTAAGTTCTGAGTTCATCTTGAAAAAAAAAAAGTGGTCACCTTCAAAAAATGCTGGGGAATTAACTCAGTTGTCTAAGAGCTATTCGAAAGAATAAAGCATATACCCTGCTCTTCTCTTTCCAGTAACAACTATACCTCAGCTAATCGCAGTTCATATATAATAGCTATCTGATATAAAAAGTATTCCAGCTAATAAAGACATTTAGAATATGACAAATTTACAAACTCTAATTAAAATTAAAACTATACTGAGATTCCATCTCAATCCAGTCAGAATGGCAATCATCAAGAATAGAAGCAACAATAAATCTTTGTATGGTTTTGGTATCAGGGTGATACTAGCTTCAAAGAATGAATTTGGAAGGGTTCTCTCCTTTTCTATTTCATGGAATATGAGGAGTATTGGTGTAAGTTTTTCTTTGAAGGTCTCATAGAACTTGGCTGAGAAGACATCTGTTCCTAGGCTTTTCTTTGTTGGTAAGCTTTTGATGGTATCTTCAATTTCATTCAAAATTGATGCTTAAATTTTCTATGTCCTCCTGATTCAATCTGGGTAGGTCATGTGTCTCTAGAAATTTGTCGATTTCTTCATTACTTTTTATTTTATTGTAGTATAGACTTTCAAAGTAGTTTCTGATTATCATCTGTATTTCAGTGGTGTCCATGGTGATATTTCCTTTTTCATCATGAATTTTAGTAATTTGAGCAGTCCCAAACAAAGACCAAATGTTCTCTCTGATATGTGGATGCTAACCCACAACAAGGGTGGGTAAAGAGAGGAAGAATAGAAGTTCATTGGATTAGACAAAGGGGAATGAAGGAAAGGGATGGAGGGACAGGAATAGGAAAGACAGTAGAATGAATCAGACATAACTTTCCTATCCTTTTATATGAATACACAACCAGTGTAACTTCACATCATGTATAACCACAAGAATGGATCCTAATTAGAATAAGTTATACTCCATGTATGTAAATAAATTGGAAAAAAAAAGAAGAATTTACCCTTGTGTGAATACACACAAGGCAATATGAGGGAAGGCAAGCAGAAAGCAACTATTAAAAAACTACAGAGCTGAGAAGAAAATTTGGCAGTCTCATAATGCTACAAAGCCCAGAGCTTGCCAAGATAAATAAATACTCCAGTTTTTCTGTTTAGACTCAGAGAAAGGCTATACCTTCTAAGTCAGAAAGGGTCAACAAGAAACAGAAGAGCCCCAAAGTCTAATTGCCAGGCCAGAGCATATCAAGGTAACCTACCTTTAGGATGCCTGCCTTCTGAGAGGGTAGGGTAACACATCACATTCATTATTTTGCTTAACAAAACCTTACAAGGAAAAAAACTACCTTCAAAGGAAAAAGAACTGTCTGATTACTTTAAGAATACTAGTGTACAATAGAAAGCTATTTCTGAAGAAAAAAACTGCCAAGATGGCCATCAAAAAAATGAAGATGAAATAAAGAAGTTTTCACTAACAAACACATACTAAAAAGAAACTCAGAAAAAGCATCAAAGAGAAACATGACAATGCAAAAAGACTATTGGGGTAAGTAAAATAAATAGTGATGTTTTGAACAGTAGTAACTGTGGCTTTGGGGGTTTGAAATATTGTGGAGCCAGGCTCTGTGACACACCCCTGTAATCCAAGCAACTCAAGAGGTCAAGGCAGGAGTATCACAAGTTCAACACCAGCCTCAGCAACTTAAGAAGATCCTTCTCAAAATAAAAAAATTTTTAAAAGGACTGGGGGACGCAGCTCAGTGGTAAAATGTCCCTTCGTACAATCCCCAGTACAAAAAAAAATTATATTTTAGATATATATATATAAATTATACACATACATACAATAATTTTGAAGAACTTAAAAACAATATGCTACTTACAGAGAAAAATGTAAACATTTACAGGCATAAAAAAAGTAAAAAAGATGATAAAAGATTCACAACTAAAACACTAATCAAGCCGGGCGAAGTGGCACAGAGCTGTAATCTCAGCTCAGGAGGCTGAGGAAGGAAGATCACAAGTTCAAAGCCAGCCTCAGCAAAASCAAGGCAATAAAAAACTCAGTGAGACCCGGTCTCTAAATAAAATACAAAATACGGCTGGGATGTAGTTCAGTGGCTAAGTGGCCCTGAGTTCAATCTCCAGTACTCACCGCCCACAGCCCCCCCCCCAAAAAAAAAAATACTAACCATTTGGCTAGTAGCAAACTAAACCAAAGTATAGGTAAAGACACAAAGTAACATTTTATAATAATGTTTCACATTAACAGCAAATGTAATACTAAATTTGTATGTACCTAGTAACAATATCAGAATGGATATCTCAAATTCAAAATTTTTCTTCACTTATCAAAAAATTCAACTTACAGTCATTAGAAAACAGAAAACTGCTATAGCCTGTAGTCAGTCAAACTACATTCTCTTAAAAATAAATCATTAGAAACACCATTTGTCCACATATAGCCATATAAAGAAATACTGGTATAACTTTTCCCTAAATATATTCTGACATATAACTTCAGAAACCTAAACTTCTTAAATTTTCTTCAGGTCCTTCACAATTTGAGTCAACATTGTATGATGCCTTGTGCCTTAAAATAATTCTTGATGATAATCTTTCATGGTATATTAACCAAACTGATGTTATTAAAGGGGGAAAATAAAATATCACTGTCTTGCAATTATTGTCATATAACCAACAGTTGTATAAATCATGCTGCTACTCATCTGTCTTCTAAACTTTTCTGACAGTCACATTTTTACAAGTGCTAGAACTATGTTTCAAAATAATTTGTAATACACAATGGAAGTCTTTGAATTCAAGTTTTTCTAAAACTTTCTGATTTACAAATCACCATTATCTACAGAAACTGAGATAGACAAAAATAAGTAATTCTGACATATTCATTCAAACTGAATAATCTCCACTATTAGTCTTTACAATATCAAGTTAGTAGTAACAAAAATTATAATAGTCATCTCAGCACAAAAAAGAACAAGGTGTCCCCAACAGTAAGCCAAGAAAGAAACTACATCTCAGATATCTGTTATTCCAATTTTCAAGTTCTCGGTAGCCAAAACCACCAATATTCAGATTCTCCAAAGTTTATCCATTAAGATCACCTGATATCATTAAGTCTGGTCTCAGAATCTCTTTTAATCATAGACATTTTCAATAAGGTCAACATGGACGTAAATATCCATATTTCTGGAATTTAAGGACTTTCAAACAGGATAACCCAATTCATTTACCAACACTATTTTTTTAGACTAACATTATCATAGAAGAAATTAAAATTTTAAAATACAAATAATGGTGGAGTTGAATCCATACTGATATCTTCAACACAGAATCCAACATTCACTGGAAAGTATTTCTTTAGGGAGTCAATTATGTCCATAGTCTACAATGATTCATAAGACATGCATATCCGTTCCAGTTGTCATATCAAAATACAATTTAAAAGCATTTCTCCAAACCATTTGCATATCAGAAACACTTATACTTTATTCTCTAATTTTTAGGAAGACAAGGCAAAGTAACAGTTGCTAGAATAATTTTAAACAGAAAGAATATTTGGTGAATTTGATAAAATGTGTTCTATAGCACATCAGTCCTGCATAATACTGCTGAAGAGAATGATTCTACACCCAAATAATTTTGGTAGCTATAGCACACTTTACCACTTACTCTTTTGTAGAGTCACAAGTCCATGAAAACATTCAAATGTTCTGAGAAGTCCTGAAGTGAATAAAACTATTTCCCTTTGACACACAAGTGTTATTTATGTATCTAGAAACTCACTCACACTCCCCTCATCTATGGAAGTGGGGAGGAAGAAAGTTGGTGAATGGTAAAATACCTGTTAACATCTTTTTAGAAAACTATTTGTTCCCTAGTCCACATTTGGGAAATGCTTCATTACAGCATTCTCACATTTAAAGATACATCCAGATTTTGAGTAACGTTATAGTTACCAATATACTAACCAATATACTAACGAGGATTTGCACATCTAGTAACAAAGTATTTTATTCCTAGAAAATATAAATTTAAAATACCAAATCCCTGCCAGGCACAGTGGCACATGCCTGTCATCCCAGTGACTCAGGAAGTTAAGGTAGAAGGATCTCAACTTCAAAGAAAGCCTCTGCAACTTAGCAAGACCCTAAGTAACTTGGCAAGACCCCATTTCAAAATAAAACATTAACAAAGGGTTCAGGATATASCTCAGTGGCAAAGCACTCTTGGGTTAAATCCCCAATACCAAAAAAAATAATAATAATAAACAAAATATCAAATTCTTAAACTAAAAAGAACACTAGTTATTTTGATTAAATCCAGGAGTCCATACCTGTATTTTGCTTTTTCATGAACCCATACATACTCAGGGTTTTTCAAGCTCAAGCGTGCAAGGTCCTTTACAGATTTAGTTTGTGTTGCTGAGAAAAGTAAAGTCTGACGTTTCTTGGGAAGATTTTCAATAATAGCATTCATAGTATCAGCAAAGCCCATATCCAATATTCTGTCTGCTTCATCAAGAACTAAAAAAGGAACATGCAAGTTAAGCTATAATATTTAAAATAAACATTAAATGCAATGTAGTATCCTAAACAATGGAGTACTGTAGACTAGATCCCAAAACAGAAAAAGAAACATTAGTAGAAAAACTCATGAAATTTGACCAAAATTTGACATAGCATACCAATGTCAATCTTATTTTTTACAAAGGTATCATAGTTACCTAAAAGATTAACACCAGGGGAACTAGGTGAAAGACATAGGAACTCTTACTATCACCATGACTTTTATTTAAGTCCAGAAGTATTCAAAAGTAAAAGGTTTATTAAAATACATATTAGGTAAAAAGACCATGTAAAAAAGAAAGTTCATTTTAAAAATGACAATTTGAGGGTTGGGGATGAAGCTCAATGATAGAACACTTGGTAGTATGAGCAAAGTCCTGGATTTGATCCCCAGCACCACAGAACAAAACATGACAATATGACATTTCAAGTTAGGAGAAGTGGGTGTTACCTAAACTAAAACATTGTTAGTAGTGCCTAATACTAAAGCATCTAATTTCATATGTAAAAGTACATATAATACTTTCTTTCAAAAAAAAGGCCTAGCTTGCGCTCTCTGGGTTGAGAGTCTAAATGCTAGAAAAATTGCAAGTTTTTTCTCAGGTTTTAATCACATTTATCCAATAGAACAATTCTATCATTAAAATTTATGAGGGCTCTCTCCAAAGTAAGCTTTTTCTCTTTAGAAATTCATGAGACTCACCTAACATTTGGAGATTGGTGGCATGAAAACATATTGTTTCATCCATGTGTTGCAGAAGCCGACCTGGTGTGCAAACGAGTATATTTATGTTGTTGATCCTCTCAGCTTCATGTTTCAGATCCTGAAAATAGTTGTTTCTTTTGATTACACTACGTCTTAAAGCAGCCTGTGTACTAATACTACAAAAGCCATCCACATGGTATTTCTTCATAGCAGCTTAAATATTCTCAGAAATAAATGTAACTACTCCCTTCCATTTCTGTAGTACATTCACATTTATGACGTAATAAACATCTTTAATGAAGACCTAGAAAGCTCAGAGTTCTTCTAGATTCTTAATCATACCCAGGATTTTGAGGCCAAGAAAAACTATCAATTGAATGCTCCAAGACTTGATTTCCTATTAGTTTAAAAACTAGAATTACTCCCATTCTTTAAGTCAGGATCCACGAGCACTGAAGAAGCTCTCTCCACCACTGCCTGTGCTTTTTGGACTGAAAACGGGTTGAGCTTTACATATTAAGAGTTTCTATCGTTGAGACAAAAGCCAGAGAACATTGTTAGTGCTGTGTGACAGGTACAAGAATAAACAAGGGTTTGTGGTATAATTCTTTGTTCTTGTATGTATGTTTACACAGAAATTCATGAAGTATTTATGCCCATAGTCTGAAGGAAACCCCAGCAAGGGGGGAAAAACAAAGCATTCCAGATGTACTACAAGGTAGAACAAAAGCAGTAGGTTCAACCACAACCCAAAATTAACATTCCTCAAAACACTCTATCTTCCTTTTTCTACTGTTGATATAGCAATGTTCTAAATTATCTGAACCTCTAAGTAAAGGTACTAGGGTCAAACACTGAAATGTTATCTTTCCAATGTACAGCAATAAATTTACTCTAATTAGTCCATAAATCTGTCTCAGAGCCTTATCAATTCAGATATCCTGACAAAAATGGACTTCTGAACCTGCAAAATTGACAATCACTCTAGATGACAGCAACCACACCAAGAAAAACTCATGAAATTTGACCAAAATCTGACATAGCATATCAATGTCAATCTTATTTTTTACAAAGGGTTCATAGCTACCTAAGAGATAGGAAGCCAGTTCCTCCCTATCAACTGCCACAGTGCTCCCACATAAGTTACTAAAGGCAGGGAAGGAAGGACAAGGACAAAAAGACAAACCTTTCCACCAATGATGAGACCAGCTGAGAAGTCATGGTTCTTTCCTACTTTTCGGAGAACCTCAAAGGTCTGATATGCCAGTTCTCGTGTAGGTGATATTATCAGAACACCCAGCCCATCAGTTGAGGTCCACTGCAGACGATATAAGGCTTCCAACACCTTGAAGACAACAGTAAATTCATGTTCAATAAGTCTTTTAAAAAGTCAGCTTTTTTGATCTGGCTCTCAGCCTTGCCACTCCAAATTGAAGGCAACTTCCAGGCACAACGCATACTACTCCCAGGTTTTACCCAATCTGAAAGAGACTATTTTTCTTCCATCTACCAGAAGCATCCACCCCCAATTCAGACAGATAAGAAAAGATGACCGATAGCAGCTCATCTGATGCCAGAGTCATGCTATCAGGTGACTGGTTATCAAAAAAGTCAAACCATAGTCCACTGAAATAGATTTATGAAAACAATAATAGTAAACTCTTATCTCTATAGCTATAGTTATAAAGTGACTGGATTCTAATTGTAGAAAAATAGTGCTATTTTAAAAAAAAAAAAAACACACACACACACACAAAACACCAGAATTTAAAAGAGAAAAATGGTTTTTTAGAACTTGGAACAAAAATTGTGATTTCTCAAAGCCAATTCTCTCRCAGTACTCAAATCAAAAGACTAACTACGTAACAGATATAAGCAACTCTACTGTTCTACTATAAAGGATAGCTATCAATGTTCCAGAAAATTCTCAACAAATGCCCACTCCTTGAAGTGAACATATTTCAGCCTTATCCTAAACAGGTGGCAAGTATAAAAGTTACTGGCAGGCTTTCTGAGGTGAAAATAGAAATAGTTTTCTCCACCAGTCCTACTACACATGAAATATCCTGCCCCTTCAAGAACATACTAGCTTATCAAGATATAGTAATTCATTCATTCAATAAGTTACTTAGTGCCTGCCATTGAGTTGGGGAATATGGTGGAAAAGAGGACAAATATGGCTCCTATCTGAAAAAGCTTGCATTCTAGCCAAGGAAACCCAATATGAACACACATCTTTATATAATTATTTCCATTCAGCACAAAATATTATAAAACTATATAACTGAGGATCTGACTCATTATAGATGTACTTACTGGAACAAGAAAAGCCAAAGTCTTGCCAGATCCAGTTTTGGCAGCTCCAAGTACATCTTTACCTTGCAAAGCCAACCCTATGGTCTGCTTCTGTATCTCAGTTACCAAGCGATACTGGGCTTCTTGCAAACCTGGAATTGTGGATAGAAAAACAGTAATTCAGTGGACTGGGGATATAGCTCAGTTGATACAGTGCTTGCCCTGGGTTCAATCCCCAGTACCACCAAAAAAAAAAAAAAAAAAAAAAAAAAAAAACAGGACTTCAGAAAATTCCTGTACAATGGTGTTACAATTTCAACTGTATCTTCCCACCTCAGAGGTTCCTATGCTAAAGCCCTAATCCTCAATACCTCAGAATGTGCATTTGGTGAGAAGGCTTTGAAAGAGATGATTAAGTTAACTAAGAGCAGATTCCAATCCAACAAGACTGATGTCTTTATAAGCAGAAATTTGAACAAATACACAAAGGGTGCAGATACACATAGGGACAACCATGTGAAGATGCAGCACAATACCATATAACCCAGTGATYCCACCCCTAGGGTTACATGCCAAGTATATGATATCAGGATGCTGAGGTATCTACACTCTCATGTTCATGGTAGCACACTGTCCACAATAGTAAAAGTATGGAATAAACCTGTGCATGAGTGGATAAAGAAAATGCAGTATACATATAAAACAGATTATCCAGCATTAAAAGGAAATCCTATCATCAGTGATAACACTGATGAACCTTGAGAGAATTATATTAAATCCAATAAGTCAGGTACAAAAAGACAAATGCTACATGATCTCACCTACATGTGAACTCCAAAAAAGCCAAACTCTTAAAAGTAGAAAGTAGAATAATGTTAGCAAAAGTTAGGGATTGGAGACAATTTTGCTCAAAGAATACAAAATTTCTAGTTTAGATTGAATAAATTCAAGAGATTTGTTGTACAGCCAGGCATGGTGTGCATGCCTATAATCCCAGCAGCTCAGGAGGCTGAGGCAGGAGGATCTTGAGTTCAAGGCCAGCCTCAGCAACGGCAAGGCACTAAGAAACTCAGTGAGACCCTGTCTCTAAATAAAATAAATACAAAAGAGAGCTGGGGATGTGGCTAAGTGGTTGACTGCCCCCAAGTTCAATCCCCCCAACAACAAAAAAAAAATCTACTGTACATCACAATGACTATAGCTAATATACTTGAAAACTGCTGACAGATTTTAAGTAGCCTTATTACAAAGAAAAGTATTAGCATGTGAGGTAATGCATGTTAATTAGTTTGATTTGTGGCTATTCTACAATGTATGTGTGTGTTTTGGAAATACTATATTGCACAATATACATATCTATACAACTTTTGTCAAAAAAAAAAAAAAAGAGGCAACAAGGAGGAGGACACCTGCAAGGCAAAGAGGAAAGCCTGGAAGAGAATCTTCCCTCATGGCTCTGAGAAGAAACCAAGCCTGCCAGCACCTTGATCTTGCACATCTTGCCTCCAAAATGCAATAAAATTAATTTCTGTTACTTAAAGCCCCCAATTGATATTTTGTTATGACATCCCTAGAAAACTAATACAAAGTGTCACATCTTTGTTCTCCTGCTTATATTAACAAACACAGTTTCATTATTTAGAGGCTCCTGGCATCTTTTTCTCTTAAAAAACAAAAAAAGAGAGAGAGAGAGAAATTTTTTTTTAATATTTATTTTTTAGTTYTCGGCRGACACAACATCTTTGTTGGTATGTGGTGCTGAGGATCGAACCCGGGCCGCACGCATGCCAGGCGAGCGCGCTACCGCTTGAGCCACATCCCCAGCCCATCTTTTTAATAAATGGTTTTTTAGCCAGTTCAGAAAGATTAAAAAGTGACAAATTATTAAAAATCATTATTTGCCTAGGTTTTTATAATATCAAAATTGTTTATAGAATAAGATTTTTCAGGTTACCCTCTCTTTAAATCATCTCCATTAAAAAATAAAATAACATGTTCCAAGATTACGACATACCTACCTTTCAATGTTTTTTTAGACAAGGGGAAATCTGAAAATCTTGTAATTTCATTTACATTTATCTGGGGGAAAAAAGATAAAGAAAATGTCAGATAATGCAATCTACTGAACAATTTATGCTTCCTAATTAAATCACTTTTTCTCTACTTTGTGCTGCCTAACTCATCCTTGATACTGAAGGACTGAATTCAACCATCATTTCTAAATAAAACCAAGCATTACTATTGAAATATTTTGAGGAAAGTGTCATGAATTGAAAATTAGAATTTGGAACTATCCCAACTGACCCTCCCCCAAAAAAAAATCCACTTAAAATACATGACAACAAAGCATAGTGGTCCATGCCTAAAATACCAGCCACCTGGAATGCTGAAGAAGGAAGATCACAAGTTTGACATCAGCCTGGGCAAATAATCAAGACCCTGTCTCAAAATTTAAAAAAATAAATAAAAAGGACTGGGGATATAGCTCAGTGGTAAAGCAATACGGGGCTCAATTCTGAGTACCCTCTTCTACACACACACACACACACACACACACACACACACACACACAAAGCCACCACATTACCTATACCTTGAGCATCTTCACTGAGGACTGAACCCAGAGCTTTGCACATACCATGCAAGCACTCTACTGTGCTACATCCCCAACCCTGGGCCACATTCTTTAAAGAGTTTACCAGAGAAAAGGAAATTTTGATTCTGCTGATACACTAGAACAGGAGTCAGCAAACTATGTCCTACAGATCAAATCCTTGGTTTTGTAAGTAAAATTTTACAGTAACACAGATACAGCTAGTCAGTTACACACCATCTATACAGTTGATTGTTTGACCCACACAGCCTAATATTGACTATGTGACCTTCACAGAAAAGTTTGCCAACTGGAAGAGTCTCAGTTATATTCCAAAGATACCTGAAGTCACAGCAGAAAACAACCATCTTGCTGAGCGACTCAGGAGGCTGAAGCAAGAGGATAACAACTTCAAGGCCAGCCTTAACAATTTAGTGGGATCCTGTCTCAATAAATGAATGAAAAGGGCTGGAGATGTAGCTCAGTAGCAAAGCATCTCTGGGTTCAATTTGCAGTTGCCAAAAACGACATCACACCCTTACCCCATCCCTTCATCCCTTAGAAACAAACAACAAAAGTCAATTCCAGCCAGGCACAGTGTAATCCCACTCGCCTATAATCCCAGCAACTCAGGAGGCTGAGCAGGAGGACCATGAGTTCAAAGGCAGCCTCAGCAACTGTGAGACGCTAAACAACTCAGTGAGACCCTGTCTCTAAATAAAATAGAAAATAGCACTAGGAATGTGGATCAGTGGCTGAGTGCCCCGGAGTTCAATCCCCAGTACCAAATTTAAAAAAAAAAAAAATCAATTCCTATCTGTATAACCCTCACACTCCCTCTAAAATCTGTATCATTCTTCCGAATTCAGAAAACAGAGAGTTTAGAGATGGTCCTTATTAAGTACTTCCACACAGGTAGAAAAGCTGGAGGGAACAGAGGGGATTTTAGGGTGGGAACCACTTAACCACCTTCTTATACTCTAACATCTACTTCTCAAAAAAGTGAATAATGCCTACAGTAAAAAGGATAAATGTTCTACTTACAGCAATCTTCAACAGAAGATAAACAACTTGCYTCCAATTACACCAGACCAAATTTTGACTAAAAAACAGGACTCTAGGTAGTACAGCTGATCATAAAAGCCCAAATGAACCTCATGTTGAGTTTGTGTCAGTCAGAAATAGAGAAAACAATTCCTGAACTAAAACAAATAACTCAGTATCTGTGAGTAAACCTCAGTCTCCAGATCTGCATCAGTCCAATACACACCCTCTTCCACACACCCCTATATAACAGCCTTAGAAATACAGCCTCAAATCTCCTGCTTCAGGGAGCATAGCTGGTTGCCAGCGCTGTATCCCTCTAATCCAACAACACTGAAAAAGTTGTTCTTCCCCTGGGCTGCTCCCAGTCAGTCACTGAGCTCCACAATAGTAGAACTACAGTTCTGCTTAACCACAGTCCAATATATATTACACTGAAGCTCCAGGAATAAATAATTCCTAAGTTTTATATTATTTTTACTATAGTATACAGTTATAATTATTCTGCTGTGTTGTTGTTAATCTCTAACTGTGCCTAATCTATAAATTAAACTGTATTATAATTTATGTATAGGAAAAATCATAGCACATTTAGGGTTTAGAGCCATCCAGTTTCAGAAGAGCAGCCACTGGCAATCTTGAAATTAATCCTATGTAGAGGAGGGGGTGCTACTATACAACTACAGGCCCATTCCTACAGGCCAAAGGATTCCTGTAAAGGGTGTTAAAAGGAAAATGTGTTAGACCAAATTCAGTAGTTTCTTTGAGCAGAACAAAAAGAAATTGTGATTTGGGCAGCTCTCAGAGCCAGAGAAGTTCTCAGAATTCCAATCAACAATGTGATCAGTCAGCCTTCACATGAAAACAGCTCAAGACATACAAAATAACTTAATTGGCTCTATAGCCTAGTCAATCAGTCAATTAGTTACAGCTTAACTTGTTCACTGTGTATAGCCTCATCAGGTAACTGACTACAGGGTCTTCTGCAACCAGCTAAACCTTCTTATGGTTAAACTCTGTATTGGTCTGTTGGGCCCAATGCAGAAGCGCAATCCTAAAACATGGCTTCCTTCGGAATTTTACATGGTCAACAGTCAACCTTGGAATGAGGACTCTCCAACAACTTGGCCAAAACTGTCTTAGATTGTGCTTCACTCTGATTCTTTCTACCTATTCCCTCTTCCTTCTCCTTCATATTTCACAAATATTTCCTCCCAATAAATCTCCAACTCACACAATCCCATCTTGGCATCTGCTTCTCAGTGGACACAACACTGGACTACGCTGATGGGCTCCTACCTGGTCTTTTGGGCTACAAATCCTTTACAGCTTGGATATATCCTGCCCAACTGCTTCCAGATGAAAAATCTATGAGCATGGCCTCCATATAAATTTCCTCTTGTTGCTGTACAGATTATCATACTATGTCTTAAAGCAACAAAAATTTGCTACCTTACAGTTCTGGAGGTCAGAGGTCCAAATGGGTTTCACTTAGCTGAATTCGAGGTATTGGTAGAGCTACATTCTATCTGGGGACTTTAGGCAAGAGTTCATCTCCTTACTTTTTCCAGCATTTTCCTTAGCTATGTATGGCCCCTTTGTTTTCCATTTCATTTATTTGAGACAGGGTCTCAATATATATATATTGCCCAGGCTGGCCTGAAATTCCTGGCCTCAAGCAATTTTCCTCCCTCAGCCTTGCCAGTGGCTGGGACTATGAACAGGCCCAGCAGTCCCTGCCTCCCAATTGAAAGACAACAACAGACTGGAGTCAAGACTTCCTGACATCATGTGACTCTGAATCTTCTACCTCCCTTTTCCTCTTGCACAGGTAAGGATACATTATGCTCACCTGAATACGCACCCTAAAGTTTGCTGGTTAGCAATCTTCATTACCCCTTACCATCTAATACAATCACAGGTTCTAGGGATTAGGAGAAGGCATTATTCTGCCTACCACAGTCTCCACAGTCCTTCATAATCCACCTCCAACCCTTTTGCCCAACCCCATTTGAAGCCAGTTCAGAAACACATACAACATCCCAAGGAGTATTTCCTCCCTCAAGAAAACCGTGTGTTTTCATATCACCTTGTGTTTCCTCATGCTGGTCCCTCCTCCCAGAGGGTCCTTGCCAATAACTTCCATCTTCCAGTTAATTTAACTCATTAAAGAAGAAGCTCCACCCTAAGCCACCACAAACCACTGGAGAGCCTGTGCACAGCAGAGGCATATGGGAAGGCTTAGGTGCAGAGGATGAAATCCAGCCCACATTCAGCTCTTTCAGCCAGGCCTGCAGCTGCAAGCATCAGGAAGAAGGTAGCATGCCCAGGGAAATGTGCTTTCCTAACTCATCTGGCCAGAGGAGTGATGTATAGAATAACTTTTACCTAAGTCTTTCTTCCTCTAATTACACCATTTTCTAACTGCACAGCCCTGAGTTACATATTTCCTATTTGCTATTATAATATTTTATACATATTTACTATTATTGTTAACATTCATCAAAATTTATCAGACCCCCACCCACTGCCCTGCACAGTTCCCTAAGGACCCAGACATGCATTTTTTCCATGAATATTTATGTAAGCTTCAATAAACATCTGTCAAATTGTTTTAAAATGTTTCTGAATCAAATTGCTCAGTATATCTTCGAAAGACTACTGAGTACTAGCTGTATACCATGGCTCTGTAATAAGTTTTACACACAAATGCTACCACCTGAAGAGCAAAATAATAAGGGTCTGTCTCTTGGTTACCTGGAGAATAGCAAATCTACTGTTCAAATGATTGTGTTACAGTATTGCTAGTCCTGGCAAATTATTTCACAATGCATTTATTTCTTGACCAAATCTTAAGAAAATGTTTCTAAAATTTAAAAAAAAAACTGGAACAATGCTACAATGCTGAGGGAGATTAAAAAGCTGCTCCTTCAACTCAGTAAAAAGACTGGGATTTAAACATCCATTTAACAATGCAACACAATAAAGTATAGTGGTTTGGAACTTCAGTGTCAGAAACTACCTAGGGTAGTAGTCATTTGCTATCTATTAGTCTTGCCATAACTTAAGGTTTCCTCAGCTGTATAATGCAAAGAATTTCTTAGGGTGGTGGTTGTAAGGATACATCAAGTCAACATGCATAAAATTTGAAAAATGTTAGTAATTATTTTTAAAACAAGTGATCAAAAAGAATGAACCAATGCTGCTAACTACCCCAAAGACAGGGAGAAAAGGTTTGGTRTTACACATAAAGCAATATCAAACACTGACTAAGCTTCTTCTCAAGGACAAGCACTGTGCTACCAGTCTCTGAAGAGAGCAAAGATGAACAGAAACAGTCATTAACTTTTAATGGTTTTGATTTCTATAATGGCATTAAAATGATACATACTCCATAGAAACTGTATTTCAAATTTTGAATTTGGATCTTCTCCCAATACAATACTCTCGGAATGCTGGGCAGCAGTAGCAAACCACAGCTGCCAGTTAGCCCCAAGATATAAAGAAGGTAAGCAGTGGACAATCCATAATGTGCCGTATTGCTAAGCCATGACATTCAATAGGTTAGGCTTATTAAACATATTTTGGACATGATATTTTCAACTTACAATTGGTTTATCAAGATATTGCCTCATTGTAGTAAGTCAAGGAACATTGTGCTTATCAATGGTCTCTGAYCTAATCAGAGTTTACAAAGAAGTTAAAGAAGCCAATCATCACAACCCAGTGATAAATGCTATAATAATGTAACAAAATGCTACACACAGATGCACACCTGGGGAGGTCATGAAACAAGATTTAATCTAAATCTTGAAGGCCAAGTGCTAGGGTGGAGGGATGGGTATGTTTAAGGCAAGCAATGGAAACATCAAATACCAGGACAAGAAGCATCAAGGAACATAGTCAATTCATAAAACTGCAAGTTGTTCCTTCACGTATACCCACTACGTATCACTTGATTTATGTATGTCATCTCAATTGAGCCTTACAACCCTCTCAGTAGTTAATAATCTGTTCACTACATGAGGAAATTGCAACTTGAGATGTTGAGAACTTGAACTGACTGAGATTTAAACTAGCTTTACCTAACCACAAATAACATACTTTCACATACTAGAATACATCAACATATTAAGGTATCGGACAATTATCCTGAAAGCAACTGTAAGCCTGTGAGCCAAGGAAGGATTATATTTGAATGTATGGATATTCTCCTGTGGTACACGCTGGGATAAGCAGGTATACACATTTACCTTATAACAACTCCAGCACGTATGCATTTATCTGTTTTACAGATGAGGAACTAAGGCTTGTAGAAACCTCAAAAAGACAGTAGTTTGGGGCTGGGGTTGTGGCTCAGTGGTACAGGGCTTGCCTCACACATGTGAGGCAATGGGTTCGATCCTCAGCATCACATAAAAATAAAATAAAGGTATTATGTCCATCTACAAATAAAAAAATTTTTAAATTTAAAAAAAAGGACAATTTAAGTGATTTATTTTCTTCATATGCTTTGTCGTTGTTGTTGTTGTTTAAGACAAAGTATTTCTGAGTTCACCAGGCTGGACTCAAATTTGTGATCCTCGTGTCTCAGCCTCCCAAGTYGCTGGATTACAGATGAAAGCTACTATGCCAGGATTTATTGCATTACTGAAAAAGAAAGACTCCTATTTTGTGATGCTCTGTTACTGATAAAGAACTATGATTAAAAAAAAAAGAGAGAAAGAGAGAAATGATTAGATTTTCCTCTTGGAAAGAAACTTTTTAGCAGCACTACAGAAGATACATTCAAGGACTATAAAACACAAGAGCCAAATCCCATTAGCCATCTTTTTCAATAATCAAAGTTATACAGAACACAATACCCATTTGTTCAGTATTTCCATGGCAGCTTTTGTGTTACTACTCAGTTTTGCCCTTCTGACCTACATAGCTGGAAACATTTACTATAATTTACACAAAAAGACTGCCAACTCCTGTTGTAAGCAATAGCTACTATGGTAATCCAGGCAACAGATGATGCAGCCTAAATTAGGGCTTTACAGTAGAAATGGAAAAGCATTCAAGAAACAAGCAGTGAAAGATCACCAGTGTAACTGGCAGAACAGCAGGTAAGAGAAAAGTACCATTGATTGCTCCTCCATTTCTAGCTCAGTGGTCTGTTTACATAGTAGAACTAAGATGTACTAGGATAGAAAAAGATTCCCAAACATGTCCATGCCCTAAGCCCTACCTAAAACCTGTAAATGTTACATTTTATGGCAAAAAGAACTTTACAAATGTGATTAAATATCTTAAAATGAGATTATCGTGAATTATATGAGTGGGCCAAAAGTATAATAGAAAGTGTCCTTATTAAAAAAAAAAAAGAAGAAAAAGAAAAAAGAAGAAAGAAAGAAAAGAAAAGAAAGAAGGAAGGGAGGAAAAAAGGAGGAAAGGAAGGAAGGAAGGAAGGAAGGAAGGAAGGGAGGAAGGAAGGAAGGGAGGGGTAGATCTGACACAGAACAGAAGAAGGCAACGTATTCATGGAGGCAGAGATTAGAGTTATGCAGCCACAAGCCAAGGAACCATAGCAGCAGCCACAGAAGCTAGAAGAGACCGTAGAGCCTCTAGAGGAAGCACAGCCCTGCTGATACCCTGATTTTGGCCAAGTAAAACTGATTTCTGGCCTCCAGAAACATGAAAAGAATAAATTTCCTTTGGTTTAAGTCACCAAGTTTGTAATAAATTCTTACAATAGCAATAGAAAATTAATACACAGGGCTATGAATTTAGGAGTGAATGCTAAGGTATGACAGAAAAGATAATGGCTACTGGCATTTAAGATGTCCTATGATACAATTAAGTAAAGACATCCAGCACAATCAGAAATAAGGATGTGAACTCAGAAGTGCTCTAGACAGAAATGAGTCAAGCTAGGGCTAAAGCTATACTCTCTAAGCAATTCTAGTCACAGTCCAAAACAAATTCCAAAAGTAACTTACTCTATAATGGCTTATTGAAGTATTGTGTATATAACAGTAGCAATAATAATAACAGCTGATATATTAATATTTCTATGTGGCAGGCATTGCGCAGAATGCTTTTTATGCATTTTCTTATTCTCCACAACTTATAAAGTAATATTATGATGCCTTTAAAGACAAGAAAAGGGAAGCTCAAAGTCACATACGAGTGAGCAAGAGCCTGGGTCAAATCATCAGCTTAACTCCAAAACCCAAGGAAACAAACTCTAAGCTCTACTTAACCTTACTATTGATCTCAGGATCATTTAAAGGAAGGCTATACCAGCATGACAAATAATGACTTTAAAATCAGGAATGTTCCACCTGTTAAATCCCTGGTAACGCTAAACTAAAATAGGGGCAGTCACTGACAGAGTAGGGTGGGAGAAGGCCAACATATTTATGAGGAGTCAAGGGTAAGGAGGAGAGCAACTGTCATTCCTAAAGAGCCTGAGGAAGGAAAAGAGGTCAGCAGGTCAAAGGACTGAGTATCCCAGGGATACTTATCTGGGAACATCAGGGACAATGTAGGGATGACAGGTAGCAGAAACAGACCAACAGTCCAAATTTTCTATACCAATTCTTGAGTGGGAATGCGAAGCAGATGAACATGAGATGGGCACAGGAGAGAGGATGGATGATATTGAGGGGTGTGGTCTGGTTTAATGGTTAAAAGCAAAGGCTTCGAAACAGAAAGAGATCTAGGTTCCAATTCTACATCATCTGTAGGTGTGTGAGCTTGGAATAAATTTCTTAATMTGAGTCTCCATTTTCTTCACCTGTATGATGGGAAAATTAAGAACCATACTTGAGATCAAGTCAAAGAATTCATGTACAACACATGATGGGGAGTACTTAAAAAGGTCTGTGTTGTTGCTTCCGTTGTCATCAGTTTTATTACTACGAATATTATCACAGCATTAGTCTCCCTACCCTTAAGTACCACAGCATTTCTAGCATTTTTTTTCAAGAACAGACGGATGAGCAGAAGAGTGAGAGTCCCAGGTTGTGGCACCCAGCAGACCACCGACGAGGCCTCAAGAGGACCCCCGACACTTCCTACCCCACGTCCTTCTCCAGCCCAGTGGACTAACGGTACAATCCCCAGGCCGGGTCCCGAGTGACAGACCCGCCGCCTCCCCCTCCAGCCCATAGCCGCAGTGACACGCGGGCTGCGGGCTGGCCCCATGCGGGTCAGGGGCCGGCTCGTGCMGCCCCCCGACACCGGCCTCACCTTCTCATAGTTCTGTATAAGGCGGCTGATGCCTTCACGTTCGACCTGCCACTCGGGCTTCTTCAGCTGCTTCCTCAACTGCTTCTTTCGGTTCTGCCTATGGCTGTGTTTTTTCTTCCAGCGATTGAAGCTCCGCACCGGGTCGGATCGGGTTCCCTGACACAGAGAGTCAGCAGTTTTGCCCATCGTGGCGGCGGCTACAGCCTGGACAGAGCTCAAACACGAGATCCCTAAAGACCAAGCGGAGGTGCGGCAGAGTTCACAGAACCAGCGTGGGGAAGACGCACCGAGGCGCATGCGCGAATCCGTAARCCCGACCCCGAGCTTTTGGAGCCGGGGCACTCGCCAATGACCGCCTGGGAGAAGCGGACGATGATTGGTGGTTCGGCTTCCGCAGGGAGGAGCCGTCCTCAGGAAACCCGGTTGGAAGGGTCTGAGGAAAAAGGCGGGTTTAGCGTTCCCCAGTCGCACGCCGGCTCTTTAAAAAGACGCATGCGCGCTGGTTTCTGTCGCTCCGGTGATTTCACATTACTTTTTTTTATTTTGCTAATTAACATTTAAGGGCTGTCTGGCGTTTGCTCAGTGTTCAGCTTTGCCAAGCGCGTACACACATACAATCTGTGGATTATAATCGTATTCCTTGTTTTGCACATTTCGATCCAGGGATCCGAAATATTTCAATAGCTAGTCAATGACTTCTGATTTTCGTCTACTGCAGTGCACCTCCGTAGGAATAAAAATGTATATTTTATAGACATAACCCCTTTGGGTTTTCCCTTTCCTCACACCCTTCAGACTCCAGCTGCGGCACCGTCGGAACTGAACGTCTAATTGAATTTGCCTGAAAATGCTAATTTTAAAACTAAATKATAACCAAAAGTAAAGAATTAATAGAGAAAGTATTTGCAATTTGGCCATTTAAGTGAGTTGGTTTTCTATGAATTGGGGTTTTGGACACATTTACCTAGAGCCTCCAGAGATGCACACTGGATGGTATGGGAGAGCCCAGTTGAGGCAATGGGACTTGGAAAATTGGTTCAAAGTTCACATGCAGACTATTTGAACCCTCAAATTTCCCATGTATCCAGATAACTACTCCCAACCCTATGCCCATCTCTCGAGGAGATAAGGGGGAAGGGAGGACCGGCAGTGAACTGGGAAATCTCCACACTGCCATTCACCAGAAGTGGGTCATATTTTTCACTGAGGTTTTTCTCAGGTGAGGTGCACTGTACACTTACTCGTTTGTTTTTATTTTATTAACCTGTCTTATGTTACTAAGGTCTTTCCCAACTATGAACTTATAAGGATTGGGGAAATTTTTCTATTTTCTTCCTTAGAATAAGTATGTTTTTCAACTAAAATGGTTTATAATATAGAATGTCCACAACAGAAAAGTCATGTAAGTTGGTACTGAGAAAATACATTTAAACATAGGTATTTTCGAGTATATCCTTTGATTAGCACCATAGACTTTATCTAGACAATTTATCTTTTAAAATATTGATAACTTACAAGAAACCATTGTTTACTCTGATTATTAGTGGCAGTGTGGCCTCAACTTACATTATGTATTTTATAAAGATTTCAAAATTCAGTAAAATTTTTGGTGCCCTTTAATATTTCAATGAACTAAAATTTGGTTGTACAGTTCTATGATGATATAAATTTTCAATAGGTTGAAAAAAGATTTTTGATCAGGGCCACTATCCATCTCTCTAATCCCAGCCACTTGAGGGGCTGCGGCAGGAGGATGGTAGGTTTGAACAACTTAACAAACTTAGCCTCAGCAACTTAGCAAAACTCTGTGTCAAAATAAAAAGTACTGGGGATGTAGCTCACGGGTAAAGTGCCTTGGGTTCAATCATCAGTACAAAAAAAAAAAAAAGATTTTTGCTATATTTTTCATCATTACTTTTAAAAAATAAACAAAGGTTATGAGATGCTCCATAAATTGCTTTTCAGAAATCCTCTGTCCAAATCAATTACATTTTTTTATGTACATAAATTGGGGCACTGTCATATCTCTGGCCTTCAAAGTATTTATTAATAACACTTACATTATTATAGTTGTCCTTAGAATCAAATTTAAGTTTTACAGATGTCTATGAACAAGAAGGTACTTCAATTCTTTTGAGGGAACATCGTTTTTGATTTGCGTGTGTGTGTGTGTGTGTGTGTGTGTGTGTGTGTGTGTGTGTGTGTAGTGCTGGGGATTGAACCCACAGCCTTGTGCATGCAAGGCAAGCACTCTACCAACTGAACTATGCCAGCCCTACCATAATATCTTTACTTCAAAACTCTAGCATTTCAAATTTTAGTCATGTTACACTATTTTTTTTTCTGTCACAACTTATGTACAGCTTTCAAAAACATGAAACCTTTTTGGCATTTACTTTTTTGTTTGGTTTGTTTTGCTTCATTTATTGCTGTACAGGATTGAACCCAGGTGCAGTCAACCACTGAGCTACATCCCCAGCACTTTTTATTTTGAGACAGGGTCTGGCCAGATTGCCAAGACTGACCTGGAAATGATGATCTTTCTGTCTCAGGTTCCCCAGTTGCTAGGATTAAGGAATTCTGACCATCTTGGCATTTATTTTTAATTTAATCTTAGTGACTCTTCTGCACTTTCACTTTTGTAGTGAAGTAATTAAACCAAGATGGTGGCCACATGCTTTAAGATGTCGCAAGGGCAGGAGCACATTATCCCAAATCAAGAGATCATTTCCCCTCTCACATTTTGAATTCTATTGTGTGTTTACAAGTAGTCTATTAAACAATGTAGACCAAATTATTCCATTATTATATCATCTGCTGAGCAATATCTATGTTGACACATAGAAATTCCTCAGTCCCCTCTTATCTAGGTTTCATTTCTATAGTTTTAATTACTCACGGTCAACTGCCAACCAAAATTATTAATATTTGTCTTGACTTTGAAAAAAGAGAAACCACATTCATATAAATTTATTTTAATATATTGTTATAATTGTTCTGTTTTATTATTAGTTTTGTTGCCAATTTTGTACTTTGCCTAATCTATATATTAAACTTTATCATAGATATACATTATAGGATAAAGCATAGTATATATACAATTTGGTAAAATCCATGGTTTTAGGCATTCACTGAGGGTCTTGGAAAGCATCCCCTGTGCATAAAAGAAAACTTCTGTGTTGGGTTTTAATCATCCATATATCCAACAATTATTGTAATCTGTTCTATCTGAAATCTATTGAGGTTTTTACTAAAATAATTGAGGAATATTTGGCATTCTTATTCAAATGATCAAATGATTTCACTCAATATCATATCTTAGCTACTTGGTTTTGTTTTTTATCTTCTAAATATATCTTTATTCCACAGCACCAATAGTGATACATAAAGAGATAAATAGCTTTTCAAATGAGATTCCAATTTTGAATACTCAACACTTTGCTGATATACTTTACAGTTTCTAAGAATATGTCATAAATGCCAGTCATCACACCTGTTTTCATTCTTCTGTTGATTTCATTCAGCCCCAGAGAATTTTTAATTAAAAAAAAAAAAAAAAAAAGACTCCTTAGGGCTGGGGCTGTGGCTCAGTGGTACAGCACTTGCCTGGCATGTGTGAGGCCCTGGGTTCAATCCTCAGCACTGCATATAAATAAATAAATAAAATGAAAGATCTATTTACAACTAAAAAATACTTAAAAAAAAAAAAAGAATCCTTCGAGGTACAGTAAAGTAACTAGAATCTAGTAGTTTTCTACTATTTGAGTTTGTGTAAAAGAAGAAAAGTTTCTAAAAACAACCATCTGTGCTGCTTTTTGAAAAATTTTAAATTTCTTGCATGTAGTACATAGTTTCAACAGGAATGGTTCATCATTTGATATTCATGTTACTTGGCCATGTTTCTGAATTGAGAGAAAATGAGACAAGTACATACTCAATTTTTCTTTCAGTTCATTTGTTWTAGTTGATATGGAGGTAAAAAGTAAATTCTCATCCTGCTCTTAGTTGAATGCTCTGATGAAACTAGTGTCTTTCTCCTTTTTTTCCAATGTTCCCTATATTTGCTTTGAAAAACATATTCAATTAACTCCTTCTAGTGTTATTTTATTTCTCCATGATTTCTGGGGTTTTTATTCTATTATTTTTTAGATATTTTTCTTATGGCTAGTAAGAAATATATAATAGCTTGGTATTTTATCTTAGATTTTGTACAAATTTAAAATGATACATACAAACTAAGCTGTTAAATTTCAACAACAATTATTCACTGTGAACCAATGTGAACATCTTTTATTAGATGATTTGAGTTTACTTAAATTAATTGATATCACTGATGCTGGCCTCAGTGCTCTCACAGTTATTTATATAAGATTTTATATRATAAATAATGTGTTATTTTTCTATGTTGTCTGTTTTGGTGATTTTTATCTTTTTAATATGATTTTTTAAAATTTTTTAGATGAATTTTTAGAATTTTTTTAAACCTTTATTTTATTAATTTATTTATATGTGGTGCTGAGAATCAAACCCAGTACCTCACACATGCTAGGCAAGCACTCTGCCACTGAGCCACAACCTCAGCCTGATTTTTTGAATTTTTTATTTTGAACAGTGTGTTCAGAAGTATATATAAGCTGGGCATGGTAACTTGTGACTTTAATCCCAGCCGTTCTATCCCCAGCAGTTTGGGAGACTGAAGCAAGAGGATCACAAGTTCAAAGCCAGCCTCAGCCATTTAGTGAGACCCTAAGCAACTTAATGAGACCCTGTCTTAAAATAAAAATAAAAGGGGGACTGAGGTTGTGGGTCAGAGGTGGAGCACTCACCTGGCACACATGAGGCACTGGGTTCGATCCTCAGCACCACATAAAGTAAAAAAAAAAAAAAAAAAAAAATTGTGTCTACCTATAAAGAAAAAATTTTTTAAAAATTTAAAGGGCTGGGGATGTGGCTCAGTGGTTAAGCGTTCCGGATTTAATTCCCAGTACCAAAAGGGAGAGGAGGAGGAGAGTTAAGTATATGATCTATATAATAATACCTTTTTTTTTTTTTTTTGGTACTGGGGATTGAACTCAGGGGCACTCAACCACTGTGCCACATCCCCAGCCCTATTTTGTATTTTATTCAGATACAGAGTCTTACTGAGTTGCTTAGCACCTCACTTTTGCTGAGGTTGGCTTTGAACTCACCATCCTCCTGCCTAAACTTCCTAAGCCACTGGGATTACAGGCGTGTACCACCACACCTGGCTTATATAATAATATCTTTATAC